AAAGCAGCAAAACAACATCAAATAGTAGAACACTAAAAACACATTAAGCTATTTTAAAAATGGTTTATGTTTATGAATTCCAACATTTGAGTGATTGCATGATGGAAGAGGTTCCAGCTATGTATATGTAAGCATTCACATGCAGTCGCAGCTATTATGCTGTAAAATATCCGATTTATCTGTCATATAGGCCTAATGTCAATCCTTGTACCAAGTTCATTTAGTTAATTAGTCAGTTCATTTGAAATTAAAGAATTTCTAAGAAAGATGAGTTATGTGCCTTTTAATGTTCTGTTTATTAGCTGGCCACTGACCCCTGTCATTTTGCAAAAGTAGCCCCGGGAAAAGCAAGATGAGTATCCCTGCTGTAATACATCCAGTGAGTGTCCCAACCTTTTACACTTCCTCAACAATTCTTGTGTCAGGCGCCCCGCGTACGCCTCAGCCTGTGTCTACTGTTGTGGTTGTTCTAGCTGGAACTTTTTTGTCATCTGTCACATGTCCTGTGCTCATGTCTGAGCCCAGCCCAAAGGCCCTCAGGGTTTACCATAAACAGGAGAGGAACCCTGCTGTCCAGTGTGTAGGATTTAGTGGCATCTAGCGGTGTAGTCACTGGTTTCACCCTCCCTTTCCAACCCTGAGGGAGAAACTACGGTTGCTGCGAAACACGCACAAAAATGCACATGGGCCCATATTTGAGTTGGTTCTGCGCTAGTATCCTAAATGTTACACACTGGACCTTTAAATATTTATCCAAATGTGCATGAATTTCTTTTGTGTGCGTCAGTTTTGTAGCAACAGAAATACAAATGGGAGAGAAGGGGGGTTTCTGCAGAGGCAAGGTCTTTGTGTTACAAAGTTAGCTAAGCTGCTTTCAGTGGAAAGGGGATTTCCTTTCAAGCTGACATTATTGTATCATAAGTGTCTTATCTTTAGGCCTTGACAGCAAAACACTGCAGGAAGTAGCTTCAGCAGTGTCAGCACAACTAACCAGAACTGATTTCTGGGAAAGTTAGCTAGATATTTAGCATGCAGGTTAATTCAGAAAAGCAGCTTAACAAGCAAGGTTAAGATGAGCTGCTGGTTGTGTGCAAATGAAACGTACAGGTTCAGCGTTAGCCAATCAGATACTACCAATAGCTTATAAGCTGATATCTAAACACCAAATCTGAACCATGTTCCACGAAGCAGTTAGTACTTTTTGCATGAATCCATATACTGGGTTACATTTATTTATGTAAGTGAGTTATGTAGAAAATGTATTCAATCTGCTTTTTTGAATAGAGCCTAAATATGTTCTTCAGCATGTCTGGCTCCTCCTAATGCTCCTAATGGCATTTACAAGAATTCACCAGGCCTGAACGAAAACAACCAATCAGAGCCAAGGAAGATAGTTGATTATTGAAGCTCATTCCCAGGTCATCAAATACCGTTGCTAGGAATGAGACAATCAACAATCAACTATCTTCAAGCCACCAACCAAAAGCATCTTTCTATTTTTCTCTACTCTGATTGGATGTTTTCATTCAGGCCCACTGGAGCCATTAGGAGCACTAGGTGGAGCCAGAAAAACCTAATTGTTTCACAGATGATCTGTCTCATGTACTACTGTAAGGATATAGTGAAAGATTCAGCAAATATGACGAAAATTTATTTTGAATCAGTCTGACCACAGGGAATACCGTATCGAGGTGATTTTCTTTGGCTCTGACCAGGACTCAAGAAAGACACGTTTGGCGAGTTAAGGCGGAGACAGGAACGGCGTCATGCAGGAGGTCAGGCATTCGAGAGACAGTGACTGTGTAGAGCCAGGAAGTTGTGGGTTGTTGGGCTGATGGTGGCCGGTTGTAAAATTTTAACACATTGCCAAACCCAAGTCAGCAGGCCTACGTCATTTACCATCTCTCAAGAATGACTCACCTTGTCGACTGCTGTTCTCTCTGGCTGAACAAATGGAGGTTTGTCTGGGGGTCTAAAGCCGCCCTGTCTCACAGTGTCCAAAGTGTGCCTTCGCTCCTGAGACCTGAAAGACAAAAAGTAACAGAGGTAAGACAAAACAGAACTGAAATATAAAGATAGATGCTGATTTCTGAATGCCAAATCTCATCTGAACCTCCTTTCATGTTTTGGCAAGAAAAGCTTCTCTCATCTTCCCACACTGTAATTCATATCAGATGGTAACTGTCCAAATTTCAGTCAAACATGAGATCCCTTTACTGTAATTATTTCTCTTGCACAGCTAAATTGGCACATGCCAATACCACCACTACCATCCTTCAGTCTTCTATGTTGATGCTCTGTGCAGGTCTGTCCTTTCTGGTATGTGATTACAATTAACATTGATTTCATTTTCAAATATATTGCTTTTAATTGATTAGTGACAGCTGAAGATTGACAGGAAAGGGGAGAGAGAAAGGGGATAATACACAGCAAATGGCCACAGGTCGGAGTCGAACCCATAGCTGCAGCAAGGACTCGGTCTTGGTACATGGGACGCCACCTCTACCAGGTGAGCTATCCAGGCGCCCAATAAATAATTTCTTGCACAAACAAACTCTGAACACACTGACATATTAATAACTTACAGTTAAGTAAGTTGATATGAGGAATTTCCTAGCAAACTGTTTTAACCCTAACCCTATTTACACAACCAGCAGACACAGAGCAACATTAGCATTCATTTATAGTTGTGGTTCTGTCCATGCAATGTCTAATATTCAATCTTCTTTTATCTCTGGTTTTTATCGCCACCAACTCCTGAGGGAATTACTGTATCCGGCTCTTTAGCTGCTAAACTAAACTAAACTTCACTATGTAGCGTATGGGTAGTGCTGGGTGGAATTATTTTTGCATGACAGAGCTTTTAAATAGGTTTATAGTGGCTTATTCTACTGCTGGGAGGACATGGAATATAAAAACATTTCATTGCCGACATGGAAGGCTTTAATTACTATAGGATTTTCTTAGCCCCACAAAATATAAAGGAATCACAATGCATGAAACAGTTGCAGAATGTAAACAGTTTTTACACATTTTACAACTTAAAATTAAAATAGTTGTATAAATACTAAATATTTTCTTTTGCCCAGTTATTACCAGCACTTATTTAAGTGAGATAATTTTTTAAACGGTCCACCTCTCATTCCCACACTCTTTTCCCACTAAAAAGAACGCTCTTTAGCTCATGTTACTAGTGCAATGTGTTTTTACAGGCTGATAATTCTTAAAATGTCATATTTCTTGAAGGGAGTTTGGCGCAGGGAGCCTTTAGTTGAATTCAAACTCATAATATGAATCATTTTTAATGTTTTGTTATCACTACAGAAACAATAGGTAACAGAACAAGTATGATTATGTTGTTTGACGTCAACTGCTGTTGGTAATTAGTTTGATAAATAGTTTGTGTATTGATTACTGATGCAGGCTATTTATCAGCTTATTTTACTCAGTATTCTGTAATTGGTTGCCCTGCGTTTTTTAAACTAAACTTTCCTAAATTAAACATGATATTAAATGTTTTATTCGTATGTTCCTAACGTTTGGTAGTAGTTTGCTTTTTCGAGCAAAAATACCACTGATGAGAGCGATGAGATTAACCAAAACAGGAAAGTTGCGAGCCATAAATCCAAAACAATGAGCTGAAAGACACTAAACAGCTACACAGAGCTCAAATAGCAGTCAGGTGATAATTGTGTGTGTTTGTCATTAATTTCACATACACAGTCATATGATCCATTGTTAATATAAATGCTAACGGTAATGTTGTGTGTTGTTTCTCTATTATTTCCGTTAATGTTTCTGCATGAACAATATTTATCACCTTTATCTCAAGAGGCTTTAAACCTCTTTGTACTGTATTTGAGTGATGAGTATTAAATTACATGCATACAGAAAACACTGTGTCCGAGGTGTGTGTCAGTCTTACACTGGTAGATGTCGTGTGGCGGGAGAGGTTGGCGGTTTTCGACTGGGGCTCCCCTCACTTCCTCTCTGTCTCCCAGGCAACGAAGCACTGTCGCTGTTCACCCGCATCCTGTTGAGACGTGCACGGAAACTTTTCAACTTTGTGTTGTGTGCATTCATGCACGATAATGTGAAAATTAGAATTTCTGTCTGTGTGTGTATTTTGCTGTCTACATCTATTGCTACATCTGTTGTGCATTCAAATATGTGGGTGTGTGCCTGTCTGTGCGTGTGTACCGAGTTGTGTTCTCCGTCTGTGGATCTTCTGCTGTCAGGTTTCCAGTGCTGCCTCCTCCTCCTCCTTCTTCTCTTTTCCCTCGCTCTGACCTGAGGGAGGGGAAGAAGAGAGAGATATATTAAGTATATATTTCACTACAGAAAGTACAACCAGTACAAGTTTAAATATGAGATGAAGGTTGAGTGACAAAATAATTAGTAGGAGAGAGCAGAAGCTGGAGTACGTGTGACCAGATTTTTTACATGGAATCTTTTCTAAAAACAAAATGTGGCAGAAAAATATAGTGGGTGGACACAATAATGCAAAATTGTGGTGTTCTACAAAAATATTACCTTTGTGCAACTTGCAATGCTTATTTTTTGTTTAATCTTTGTCAATGTTCATTTAAATTTATGGAGATTTTTGAAACCATGGCTTTTAGTGGTTTTATATTGTAAGATATTATAAGGTTTTTCTGTTGTTTCTCCTACCCTTATTATCTATATTCATCACTTGTTCTGATGGCTGCTATTTGTTCACATGTGATGGCAAGCTGAATTTTCTCGACAAACCAGCAAACATTAGGCATCGTGGCAGAAATAATACTTACAGCAAAAGTGTACATTTTTATTTTGAATGAATGTAATGTTGCTTTTTTAAACGCAAAACATGTCATGATTGCTGTTTGTTTTCTTAAGGGGGGTTAAAAGGTTGGGAGTCTTGGCGTAACCATAGGGCTCTGAAATCACATTTACACTTTTACCTTTGGACAGAGCCAGTCTAGCTGTTTTGCCTTGATCCCAGCCAACATAACATCTCCTGGCTCTCGCTTCATATATAAAGGGCAGATGTGAGAATGATAAAGTCTTCCTTACTTAATGCAGGAAAGCATTTCAGAAATTCATGACGTATTCCTTTAAAGTTCCATTGTGGAACATTTAGGAGGATCTATTGGCAGAAATTGATTATAATATTCATAGGTATGTTTTCATTAGTGTATAATCACATGAAAATAAGAATAATTTTGGTTATTGCTTTCATATCCACTTTATCCTACACACTGGTCCTTATATAAATAAATATAAATTTAGCATTGTTTCCATACTGTGCCTAAAATAAATAACTCTGTGCCTCTGGCTGTGTGGTCAGAAAAAGGATGTTCAATATTATAAGTCATTCTTGTCATAGTCTACTGTACTTATAGTAGCCAAGACTCAGATGAAATGTATTGTCTCAAACTGGAATAGAGGCTTCCAAGATATAGAGTATCTAGAAAATGGTTGCCTGAATGGTTCGGAAGTAGAAATGTCACTCACCCATCCAGCACACTGATGTACTTGTGAGGAATGAGACCTTTAACCCCTCCCACTTCGCCTCTCCACCAATCACAAGAGGCCTTGCTGTGAAGGCTGAGAAGATCTCCCTGCTTGAAGGACAGCTCTGCTGGAGATCTTGCCACATAGTCGAACAAAGCCACTGCCTCCAACTCTGTACACACATGCAAAGACTTTGTTAAATAATCTTATCCAAAATGCTTATGATTCATGTATGCTTATGAATCATAATTTACAACGGTTGTTCAAAATGTAAATGTGGTTTGGTTTGTGGTACATTCGTGTGAAGTATAATGAGTGTATGTACTCACCGTCCTCACTGGGCAAATGCTCAGTCTCTCCATCTCCCTCCTCTGTGATTGGTTCACTGCAGACAAGCATAAAAACGAAAGTCAGTGGTCATACACAGTTCCTCTTCTATACAACAGACAGACCAACTGTCATACCACTGGCTTTCTTTGTACCCTTCTTCACTTCGCTTATGCAATTTCACGTAAGTTTCATGTTTTTTCTGCAAAACAGATGTTGTGGAAATGAAGCAAGATTAAAATACAAAAAATAAGTTTGAACCCCAAAAAAAAAAAAAAACTGCATGTAGTCTGATGTAGGTAGAACGGTGACTGAGGGTCTAGACAGTAACAGTGCTATGATTTGGGGGACTAAAGAGTGGGATCTTTGTCTTTTCCTCATTTAAATGAGGTAAATTATGGGCCAACCTGTCTTCAATATCTTCACTTTTGTGATCGAGTTACATCGGCCCGATTTGATGGAATTAAGGGAAAGGTAGAGCGGAGTACCATCTGCATAGTAGTGAAAAGCGATGTTATGAGTTTGGATGATTCTTCCCTATGGGAACATGTAAAGACAGAAAAGAAGTGGACCTAAAACTGAACCCCACATGAAATATTTGCAGGTGTGGAAGATGAGATGCCAATGGAAACAGTTCTTTGAAATGTAAGAATGGAACCAATCAAGGGTGGACACAGAAATGCCGACCCAGTGTGTCAGGCAATCCAGGAGAATCCTGTGGTGGACAGCGTTAAAGACTGCACTGAGATCTAGAAGAATTATTTACTGGCATCCGTAGCACAGAGGAGGTCAGTGCTGTGGCGTTCACAGAACACTCACTGGAATTTCTCAAAAATATTGTTTTGGTTTAAAAAGGAGATCTGATTAAAAACAAGCTGCTCTAAAACTTTAGATAAGAAAGAAAGCTTAGAAATAGGCCTGAAATTATTTGAAATAATTGGGTGGGACATGGCAATCTTAAATGCACCTGTGGACAGAGAACTATCAAAAGACATAATCATTCTTCTGGGACCAGCTGCTTCAAATGACAATCAAATTAAATGAAATGCAATTCGTTATTGTTATTTGTTATGCGCCCAAGCAGGGGTAAAGAGACGGTGTGGAAATTATTAAAAGCAGGAGTGTCCTCAATAATCAATTAGAAATCTTTGATAAGGTGTGAAATATTTGACCTAATGTTGTCAATTTTGTCTTTAAACTACTCACAGTCAATTGGGGAGGAATTTGTAGTGGAGCAAGCAGAAAGATTAACTACAGTATAATAAAATATGTATGGTGCTAAACAGGATCCTGGAGTTATGACTGCTCTTAGTGATGAAGTCGGAGAGGTATTAGTCTTTGCATCGTCACATACTTCATACTGTTGTAAGATTTCTCAAATTACCCCTAAAAAAGAAAGGACCAAATAACTGATAATGCTCTGTTAAATGTCAAAAAGTACATTACATAAATGTTCATGGATAAAACAGACAGTGTTACTGAATTCCCTAGGAGCGGGTGTCTGAGGTTTCCATGGACACTGTCGATAGGCTGGAGGCTTGTGTTCAATTTTAGTGAGCAATCAGCTTAATAGTATTAAGCACCTTTTACACAAAGCATTGTGAGTTGCCCAGAAATGCCTCTGGCATGGCATGTAATTGTGTTTCAAGAGGATGAGCCATGAAAAAGGGGCTAAGGGGGAAGCTGCTCTACGTTCTTGGAACCATCTCAGACTGAGTCTTAAACTCCAACAAGACAAACAATTCTCTGGAGGAATGTGTGGCTGTTGCCCAGACGCTCATTTACTACAAGTCATCCAAGGACAGAAATAAGTGGAGATTGTTTTTCAAAGAAAAGATTATATTATGTTTAAACAAAAGTAATGGAAGCCACTTGGCACATTTCAAGTTAGATGAATTCAACCATTCAACCAGATTTGACCAAAGGCATTGAGACCATTTTTGTTTCGAGCCATGAAACTGACACCAGTAAAAGGTAATCAGACAAACCCAAAATATTACCAAATAGATCAATAAATAAAATTGATAGTTAAATAATTACAGTGGAGTGTACAGTAAAATAATTAAAAAGCTTCCTTTAACCTCCATTCAATTGGTTAAAAAGCAAAAAGCTTTATTTTTTCCTTGCCACTATCAGTTGATAAAACAAACTAAAATATTAAAAATAGTGTTAGCTATATTTTTGGAGGCTAAAAGCACTTAATCACAACTAATACCGCATTTATATCAAAGACAACTCATCTCTCACCAGTACTCCTGCTCCAGAGTCATGTGCTTCTCATAGACAGGGCCCGGCAGTTCTGATTGGCTGGGGAAGATGACATCATGTTGAAGGATCATAGTTTTGACAAGATCATTGACCTGTGGCTGCCTAGCAACAGCGTCATCCGAATCCAACCCCCTCAGCAGGCTCGGACCGAAGCAAACAGCCAAGTTGTAGGGCTGCATCATGTTCTCATCACTGTACTGAGACACGCTTGGGAAAAAACACAACACACACACACACACAATGAACTGTTATCTTTGGCAAGGGTGTGGAGTTTTATGACTACAGCAGATATCACAAGTGACAGAAAATCCCACACTGGGTTTTGTTGTAGCTTACTGATTGAGGAAAGCGAAAAGGTAACGCAGCACGATGAGGAGTGGCCGTGGGAAGGTGGAGACAATCGCTTTAATCTGGGCAGCTTTCTCCATCACCGCCTCGATTTCTGATCATGACAGAGAAAAGGAGCATGATGAGCTGAAGCAAAGATTAAACTATTATAAGAAGCAGTTAGGTCAGGTGCACAAATCACCCAAAATTCTCCAATGTCGTGACACTATTGAGGTGAGGTGGCTGGGCTGATTAATTCGGCCCCTGACAGTAAGTTCTAAGTATTTATGGGTAATAAACAACCTGTAGGCAGGTTCACAACCTTGATTAGCTGTGCAAAGTTTGACTCAGGGTTTCTGTTTTGGAAAACAGAATACGCCTAAAGGAATAACAAGGAGACTGAGAGAGATAACAACAGAGCGCAAACAAGACAGTGAGTCGAACCAGAGGAGAGAGGAGACATTGCACCACCTTGCATCAACACTACATGTATTTGTTACTTTGTGTGTGTGGCAGTGAAGTAAGGCTACTACTCAAGCTGCCAAAAGCTAAATCAGAATTAGCAGGTTTATTCATATGCTAAAAGGCTTACCCACAATCTACTGTCCATGTAGGGGTTAATCAGGTAAACTGAGGTAGAACAAGCTTCTAGAAACCAATGTATACATAAATAACTACGTCACTGAAAGCAGATATGAGAAACCTGTACGATGTGAAAACAGAAACACACACACGGATGTAGAGTTTAAATAAAGGGAGCTTACGGACACACTCCAGCAGCTGAGAGTAGCTGTCATAAGGGAAGAGAGGAGGCTCAAGACCCCTGAAGTAGAGCTTCAACACACCAGCCACAGAGTCCAGGTCACACTCACTGTCTGACAGAGGATCATCCCCTACAGAGTAAAACAACACATGTGAGATCAATGTGTCCATGTAGCAACACAGGATTATGTTCATGTTTCATGCAGAAAAAAGCCGGGACGTTGCTATCAGAAGTAAAATTGTGCTCCTCAAAATGTTTCATCTAATTACTGTGAGTGATATATTAGTTAATTATCATTGTGATTAGCATTTTAGCCGTAGACATCATAGCCATAAACTCCATTACCGGGAATAAAAGGTAATTAAATCTACTCATTACTCCTTATTAGTAATGAAATTGGTTATAATCATATTTTCATGTCAGCAATGGATTAAATGACTATGGTGGCACTCATAGTGACAGAGCTTTATCATTTCCCTCAGCTCCACAGAGCTTGTTATCATCTTTCAGCTGATTGTTTTGTTAACTATCACCACTCTCATACAGTAGCACTGATCTTGGTTGCTCACTGTACACCACTGTACACCAGCACCAAAGAGCAGCTGGACAAAGGCAGCAGCTACTTGGTGGACATAGAGAAGCATTTAAATCAAAAAATCAGTTTTAATGATGGGACGTGATCCCTCACTGGCTTCCCATCCCCTAATTGTGTTCTTTGGAGGATACAACCAAGCTAAAGGTGCTTTTGGTACAAGAGTAGGCCAGAGGTTTGCATATTTCCAACCTTATACGGCCTTGCTAATAGAATGATGAGTTTGTGAGCTTTCTCTTATAATTCTGAAATGTGTACATTCATACAGTTAAGGGGTTAGAGAGGCTAAAATGTGTAAATACCTGTGTGTAACATCTAAAACAGAAACATTATTAAGAATAATGATTAAAAATGACAGAGGAAAATGCAATGAAATATCAGAAATTCCTTTACCTCTCTCAAATGCATCTCTGATGAGGTTAACCTCCCTCTGCATTCCAGGAACTCTGAATATCCCTTCATGGTGGAGGCCTGGGAGACACACACATTCACATAATTTATTTATTCATTATTCACATGTTCATAGATGCCTGATATTCCACAAACAGGATTGTGAACACACATACACAAACAAGCACCTCCACCTACTCATTCTCAGTGTCCAAAGCTCTCGCAGGATTGCTCATTGCTATATCATAAAAACTGACTCACCATGAAGGTTTATGAAACGAATGCAGCTTTCAACCACCACAGGAATCTGCTGTCCAGAGCTCTGGAGGAAACAGATGAGTAGAAGAGGAGAGATGAGAGTGTTAGAGACAGAAGGAGAGAGCAGCTAGAGATGCAAAGAAAGACATGGAAAATAAGAGGAAGAAAAATGTGTAAAGGCAGGTCTAATACAAGGAAAACAGTGATTAAACAGTGGAAGAGAGTTTCAAGAGCTAAGGACTAAAATGGCTCACTGCTTTTTTAGTGTGCTTTGGTTGAAGCTGTAGATTACCAGGATTTTTGAAAATACTGAGGCCCCCTCAAAATCCTCTCAGACACCAAAATGTGTTTCTTAAATACTCACATTCACATTTTTATTTTGCTGAAGGAAATTCTTCTGTAACAACTGCTTATAAACTCAAGTTACTAAACTCTACGAACTTTTAACAATATTATACTTGTAATCAGTTCCAAAATATATGTTCTGTTATAGGAAAGATTATTAGGGAATTTAGGGATGTGTAAAACAAACTCTTGTAAAATTCTAGATACTGAATTATTTTTTTTACTTTAGATATTTTGTTGCGTTCAAAAGTCCAATAATACTAATACACCATACAAAACACCCAGCATGTTTAAAAGGATTGTTAGAAATTTTGGGAAGAGATGAGAAGATTGATACCAGAGAGTTAACAGCCCTGCTAGCTTATACAGCTAGTCTGGCCCTGTCCTCTGTTGAATACATACAAAACTGGAATTATTCAAAGAAAGACTATATGTGGTTTTGCAGTGGATCACGTGATGGAACAAAACTTTGTTACCTTTGGACAAAGCTAGGCTAGCTTTTTCCTCCACTTCCAGTTTTTGTGCTAAGCTAAGCTAACTGGCTGCTGGCAGTAGCTTCATATTCATCGTATAGAAATGAGAGTGGTATCA